GGAAAAAAGGCCCCTCGGATGTTACCTTAGAGTTTTCAGCGTTTTTTGCTGTTAGTGCAGGGTTGAAGAGCTCTTTGCTCCTAATTGAGGAGAAATGTCTTATTTCTCCATGCTCCCAGAGATAGAATTTGGGACAAAGCATTTTTAACTTTGAAGGCTGTTAATGACCACTGTTAATTTTTAAAATTGAGATATAATTCACATATTATTTACCATTCTAAAATGTACAATTCAGTGGTGTACATGTATTTGTGGTGTGGTGTAAGCCAGAGTTTGTGTGTCACTAATTCTGGAACAGTTCCATCACCCCAAAAAGCAAACCTCATACCCATTAGCAGCAAATCTACTGGTAATTCTTGACTGTAGTATTTTTGGCCTGACATTGAGGCACAAAAATTAAGCTGACTTTAAAGAATCCAAGTAGAATAAATTGAAGCTAATATTGACTTTTGAACACCATTTGTAATTCCTCGTGAAGAAATATCTTTGCAATCCATAAGGTTTTGGAATTTCACCTCATTGCAACTGTTTAAGTAGAATGCCACGTGGATAAGGATTGATCTTTTGTGCCAGTCTGGCTTGATATGGGTCATAGAAAAGCGAAGACAGAAATGTCACTGGACAAAGAGAAAGTAAGGACATCACCAGAACATAAGATTTCTTGTTGCTGCTCATCAGAAATGATACCTTTTCTTCCTTCTGCTTTCTTTTGTTTTCCCCACTTCCCCAATGGAGAATTATAGGTCTACTTGCTTTTAAAAAACTCCCCTTGCTGAGCTCCAGCTTTTACAATGGAACCAGAAAGAATTATAAGCTATATTATGAAAAACAATTTTTTTGGCACTAAATGCTTAGCTACCACTATTTCCAACATTTAGCTATGTGTGTGGTTCAGTGATGGGAAGAAGAAGAAAGGCTCAGCTAAACTGTGATGCATCACAGATATTTGGAAAGAAACTATTTCCAAAAATAAGTCGGTTTACATTTGATTAATTAGACATGCATCTCAGATGTAAATGAGGCCTGCTATGTACTTTTAAATCCTTTTGAAATGGAAAAAAATCTTTGCATAACCGAATGCAAGTGAACTGTCTTTAGGTAGTGATTACAAGGAAAGATTCATTAATTCAGTAGATATTTATTATCTACTATGCACTACCAAGCACCATCCTTGCTGACATAGATAGAATGATAAACTTTCTCTCAGGGAACTTAAAATCCAGGGAAAGATATATAGCTAAGCATATTATATGTGTATAATATATATAATTTATATATAAGCATAATATATAAGCAAATAATTGTATAAATGAAGTATGAAATTGCAACTTGGATATCAATAAGATTAAAGGACAGAAACTGCTCTGAGGAATAGGCTGGGGGATTTTGACTTGGTGCAGGAGGATCTGAAAGTTCAGTAAACGTTAACTAGGCAAAGAGGGGGAAGAAAGAGTGTCCTGGGTAAAGAAGGGTAACATGAAAGACTTTGGCAGGGAAAATGGGGCACGAGATAAGGGACAGAGTGGTTGGAGCCGAGAGTGCAAGGCAAAGTGGTTCCAGATGATACTAGAGAAACTGGTAGGAATGCAACGATATGGGGGTTCATAGACCAAGTTTTGTCTAGGATGCTTTTAAGGAACTGAATGACTGATCATATTTTCATTTTGTAACGATCACCCTGACTGTGGTACAGAGAGGTAGATGGAACCAGGGCAAGACTGGATGTAGACAGATTGTATAGGATGTGGTTTCGGTTGTCCAGGTGAGAGATGGGGGTAGATGGGGTGAATGGAAAAGATCTGGACTTGGACTAAAGAAAAAAAATGTGTCATCTGTGTAAAGATGGTCTTTAAAAGCATGTGTGTGGGGGGGGGATCCTAAGAAAAAACTTTACAACGAGAAGATCTAGAACTGAGGCTGGAGTGAGGGAAACAAGTTTAAGATGATTGAATCATGAAATATATTGGCCTGTAATTTTCATTTCTTTTCATATTTTTGCCAGGTGTTGGCCTCAAATGTATGATGCTTTCTAAAATGATTCAAAATGTTTTCTCTTTTTTATTCTCTGAAAACTTTTCTGTAAAGTGGGATTTTGTTTCTTTTGGTAGTGAGGTTATCTGTATTTAGAGGTTTTCTTGTAGAAAGATTTTAAATAATGAATTTAATTTTTTACTAGGCAAAGGAATATTCAGATATTAAAATTAATTTTGTGTCAATATTGCTAAGTGTTTTTTTAAGAAATTTTTTTCACTTCACCTAAGTTTTCAAAAGTGGTGGTATGTATAATGTAATAACCTCCAATTATTATTTCAGAGTCTATGAGATCTGTAGTAATGTTCCCTTTTTTTCTTGATATTGGTAATTTGTGTTTTCTTTCTTTTGTCTTGATTGGTCTTGCTAGGTGTTTAACATTCTTCTTATTCTTAAGAAAAGCACCTTTTGGCTTCATTTTCTCTATTCTATGTCTGCTTTTCATTTTATTAATTTCTATTCTATCTTTATTATGTCCTTTCTACTTTAGAAGCTTTAATTGTGTGTGTGTGGATTTTTTGGTTTGTTTTTTAAGGTTTTTGAGAGAAACTTATCATTCATTTCCAACCATACTTTTTTTTTTTTTGGTCGTGTGAGTCTCTAAGGCTACAAATTTCTCTTAAATACTTTATATTCTCCACAAGTTTTTGTCCCTTGAGTTAAAAGGTTTTAGTCCAATTGTGGTTTCTTCTTTGTACATGGTTTATTTAGAAGTACATTTTGTAATTTCTATGCATAAGGGGATTTTTCTAGTTATGACTTTGTTATTGAGAGGCAATATGACACAATGATTAACATCACTGACAGGGCCAAACTGCTGTGTCTCAACTGTGTGATCTTGGACAAGTATTAACACTCAACCTTAACTATTAAATGGAGATAGTAATAATTATAGTACTATAATCTGTATTAACAACTCTATAGTATTATATACTCTATAGTATTATAGAGTTGTTATGAGGAGTAACATAATGAATATTTGTAAAGCAATTTAAACAGCATGTGGCCCATAGTAAACATTATGCGTTGAGTTGTTTGTTTGGTTTTATTTTGTTTGAGTCAGAGTCTCATTCAGGTACCCAGGCTGGAGTGCATGACCATGACTCACCGCAGCCTCAACCTCCTGGGCTCAAACTCTCCTTCCGCCTCAGCCTCCTGAGCAATTGGGACTGCAGGTGCATGCCACCACGTTCAGCTATTTATTTATTTATTTATTTATTTATTTATTTATTTATTTTTGTAGAGATGAGGTCTCACTATGTTGTCCAGACTGATCTTGAACTCCTGGGCTCAAACGATCCTCCCACCTCAGCCTCCTAAAATGCTCGGATTACAGGTGTGAGCCACCATGCCTGGCCAATAAGTGTTTGGCACATAAGTGATTTTAGCTTGTTTGTGTTGTGGTCTAAAAAATATATTTCATATGATGTTGGTGTTTTGAGTTTTTTTAGATTTGCTTTATAGCTCAGTATTGGATCATTTTACAAATGTTCTGTGTGCCTAAAATGAATGTGTATTCTGTAGTTTGGTATAAGTACATAGGTCAAGAGTTGCTTAAGTCTGATTTTTTTTTCCTGTTTTATTAATTACTGAGGGAAGAGTAATTCAAGTTTTCCACAAGAATTGTGGATTTTTCTATTTCTCCTTGTAGTTTTGTTGATATTCCCTTTTTATTGTCCAATGTGGGAGTACCAGTCACCTACTGGTATGTTTAATCTTGAAAATGTTTTGCATTTTTATTAAAACTTTTGGTTTTAGGGGATATTACAATAATTTTGCAAGTAGATGATAGTTATGTCTTATTCTAAAAAAAATCATTATGAAAATGTTGCTGAAAGATGGAAGTTAAGTGTCTCACTCTAACTGGGTGTTTTCTCCCATCTTGACCTTCATCTTGACAAGGCCACCTAAGATATTGTTTCATCCCTCCAGGAGGTTCCTGGTTCCTGGGGACTGCAGTGCTTCCTCCTGCTCCCTGGCTTTCTTGCCTAAAGCTCTCTTTTGCTTTCAGCCTGGCCTTCCACCTCTACCTGGATTCCTGTTCCCATTCTCCCATCTATCACACATCCTTTGAGGCCCACGACATGTCCATGTATTGATGCGCTGCAGGAAGCCAAGGTGTACCAGACATGTCCCCTGCTGTCTTGTCCTGTAGAAGAGAAGCATAGCAGACACAAATGAGCTTATTGTGGGGAGGGCCTGACAATGTCCTAAGGCAAGGGACAGAGAGGACGGAAGCAACCTGCAGTGTAGGGGATCACCCCAGGGCTGGGAGAAGCAGAAGGAGGCAGAGCTGAGGCCTAAATCAGTGCCTTGGACACCAAGCGACCCAACTCAGGGGAACCTAGAACACTGTGCTTTGCCACATGATATCAAACACCTTTTTAAAAGAAAGACTTAAGCCGGGCTCGGTGGCTCAGCCTGTAATCCCGCGCCTTTGGGAGGCTGAGGTGAGTGGATTGCCTGAGCCCGTGGGTTCAAGACCCTCCTGGGTAGCGAGACCTCATCTCTACAATAAATCAAAAAATCAGCCAGGTGTGGAATTCCGGCTACTTGGAAGGCTGAGGTGGAAAGATCACCGGAGCCCAGCAGGTCGAGGCTGCGGTGGCCGGGAGCGGCCACTGCACTCCAGGCTGGGCGACAGAGTGAGACTCCAACTCAAAAAAAAAAAAAAAGAAAGACTTAAAGGGCTTATCCACATAAACATGAGAGACCAGAGAGATGGCTAATTAAGAAGAAGAAGAGGAGGAGGAAGACGACAAGAGCAAAAACTGGGTGAAAACACTGGTGTATGTCATTGCTTGGTCCCGGAGATGGTAAGTGATGAGGTATCTGCTTCCCTGGGGTCTTCAGGCAAGGAGGAAGCTATCGTTCTGACCAGTGTCTGCCACAGAATGAGTTTGCTGAGCCCAAATCCCTACGAATCCTGGAGTTCGTGTGTGTTTGTGCTTGTCCCCACACAGGAAAGCTCTTCGTGTTGGAGTCTCAGAATGGCTCTCACGGCCTGGAACTGGAGGCGGCTCGGCTTTCCTGCAAGAGTAGGGGTGCTCACCTGGTGTCTGCAGACGAGCTGCGGAGGGTAGTTCAGGATTGTGCCTTTGCAGTGTGTACCACGGGCTGGCTGGCAGACGGCACCCTCGGGTAAGTCGGGTGAGCTACAGGAAGCTATCCTTTCCAATTCACCCCGACTGCTCCACCCAGGCTGATTTGGGGGCTCAGTAGTTGTTCTCTTGAGGCACCAAGATGGGCAAAGTATAGTGGGTGGTGGCTTCCAGGGCATTCTTGTTTTGAGTTCTCCTATAGAAGCATTCTTCTGGAGTTCTGTGAGTCTTCCCCCGCCCCGCCACTTATTTTGTTATTTTGAATGTTCTTTTTAAGTTACAAAAATAACACATGCTTGTTGTAAAAATTTCTCTCTCTATATGCATATATATACGATTAATAGTATATAAAGTACAGCATAAGTTTCTTCTTCCCCACCTCAGAGGTGATGACTGTTAACTGTTTGGTATATGTTCCTTATCCTTTTTTCTCTGTGAATACTCATCTACATACGTATGTATGTATAGGAACATGGTATAAAGGTTTTAAAATATGGCCACAATTTTTTTCATACCACGCACATCAAGAGGTGTGCTTGCCTCTACCGACAGAACACACCAGGAGAGAGGTGAGTGACTTCTGAGGTTAGGTTGGAAAAAATTCATGCAGCTTCTGCCTGAATTTCTGGGGACACTCACTTTTGTAGCCTTGAGATGCCATGTGAAGTCTGACTGCAGAGATGGCCATGTGGTGAGGAAAGCCATACCACACAGAAGTACCTCATATAGGGGCACTCGGCTTCAGCCCCAACCAATGTCCCGGCCAAAAGCCATCATTAACTGCCAAAAATGTGAGTGAAGATGCCTCCAGGTGATTCTAGCCCCCAGCTGTTGAGTTACCTCCAGCCTATGGGTCTTGCCAGCTCAGGCCCTAGACAAGGCGCGGGATTATAGGCTGAGCCACCGAGCCCGGCGAGAAGTAATTCTTATGTCCAACTTGGAGAAAACTTTCCAATGGTGCGGCTACCTGCTTATTTTTTATTGTTATTTTTAATCAACAAATAATAATTATACTTATTCATAGGGTACATAGTGATGTTTTTATATCTATAATGTATAGTGGTTACATCAAGGTAATTAGCATATTCATCATCTCAAATATTTATCGTTTATTTGTATTGGGATCATTCAATATCCTCCTTCTAGCTATTTAAAGCTATGTCAGGCTGGGCTCGGTGGCTCAGCCTGTAATCTCGCACTTTGGGAGGCCGAGGTGAGTGGATTGCCTGAGCCCGCGGGTTCGAGACCTGCCTGGGCAACTTGGCGAGACCTCATCTCTACAATAAAAATCAAAAAATTAGCTGGGCGTGGTAGCGCACGCCTGTAGTTCTGGCTACTTGGAAGGCAGAGGCAGAAGGATTGCTGGAGCTCAGCAGGTCAAGGCTGCGGTGGTCAGGAGCATGCCACTGCACTCCAGTCTGGGCGACAGAGACTCCAACTCAAAAAAAAATAAATAAATAAAATAAATGAATAAAGCTATGTCATATATTATTGTTTACTATATTCATCCTACAGTGCTGTAGAGCACTAGGTCTTAGAACATTCATTGGGGAAAGGACAATCTCTTCAATAAATGGCGCTGGGAAAACTGAATATTTATATGCAGAAGAAAGAAACTAGACCCCCACCTCTTCCCCTATACAAAAACAAACTCAAAATGGACCCCAAGACCTCAACACAAAACCCAAAACTATAAAACTACTAGAAGAAAACACAGGGAGAATGCTTCAGGACATTGATCTGGGAAAAGATTTTATGAATTAGACCTTAAAAACACAGACAACAGCCAGGAACGATGGCTCACACCTGTAATCCCAGCACTTTGGGAGGCCGAGGCGGGAGAATCACCAGGAGTTCAAGATTAGCCCTAGGCAACATAGTGAGACTTCATCTCTACAAAAACAAACAAAAATCCCCAAAACATGTGGTGATGTTTGCCTGTAGTCCCAGCTACTCAGGAGACTGAGGCAGAAGGATCACTGAGTCCAGGAGTCAGAGACTGTGATGAGTTGTGATCATGCCACTGCACTCCAGCGTGGGAGACAGAGTGAGACCTCAATTCAAAAGGAAAGAAATAAGCACAGACAATGAAAGTAAAAATAACCAGATGCCTCTTGAGTCATGCTCAGAGAAGGCAGGAGCCACTCCACTTTCTCCTTAATGCCGCAGGAATGTGAAAGCAAAACAGGCTCCAAAAATGACTTTCGTGGATGATGACCCTGAAGATGTCTGGCTGGCAGATGGCCACGGAAAACACACAGCTGTGCTGACTCATGTCTCCAAATGTGCCACTTGTGAAGCAGCAACTGAATGAAGGGACGACTGAAGCTACATCCGGAGCCTTGCTGTGAATCTGGGACTGTGCTCCTCTGTCTTCTAGTTTATATCCACGCTCTCAAATAGACAAAATATGCCCTGTGCACTCACATTTCCATAACGGAGTCATGTAGAAATGTTTTTCTTGATTCTGTTACTGTAATTTCAGGAGATAACTAGAGTATTCAGAGATGCTGAGAGCCAGCTTGGAACTAGGCTTAGGTCTCCCGGGCATTATAAGTGAGAAGCAATTATTAAGTGCACAGTGCATCTTGATGCTGATAACATAGTAAACATATAGCACATCTGATTTGTATCTTCAAAAATTTATGTTGAATATACACATGAATCCAAAGAATGAAGGTCTAGTGTGATGAATTCAGAGTTTGGGGCCACTCACCTCCTGAGAGCTTTTGCAAATTCTATAAAGCGTGGCTGAAGAGCTGAGCAGCCATGTTGATAGTCTAATGGTACTAGGAAGATGGAGATTTGAATTCAACTTCTGTGTAGGAGGGGGGCTGGTGGACCTTTTTGCTTTGGCTTGGAACTTTGCAGGATTGCACCCTGGGAGTAAGAGTAAACTGGACACAGTACACTGTACAATGAACTGGACACAGGACCTCCTAGGAGCAGCAGTCTACCTTCAAATCCTTATAGTCATGAATTTAGATTGAGATGATACTGGAGTTCCAGTGTTCCAGATGTCTAACAGAATTTAAAAAAATTCTCTATTGAGGAAGATAATATCCTAGGCTTCAGTTCATTGCAACAAGTAATTTTAGCCGATGTAGGATTTGTCATTCAATATAAAATATCTAGTCACATGAGGAGACAAGGCAAGAAGAGTAAAATTAAGAGGAAGCAGTAGCTAATAGAGACTCCAGATGTAGACTTTAAAATAACTATCCTTAAAATGTTCAAAGAAGTGTTCAAAGGGATAAAAGACAAGAAGGAGAGTTTTGGCAGAGAATTGAAAGCTATAAAAAATAATCAAATGGGAAATCTAGACATGAAAAATACAGTATAGTGACTAAAAAAACTTAGTGGATGGATCTCACAGATGACTAAAAAGAGCCAAAGACAGCCAGTCATGGTGGCACATGCTTATAATCCCAGCTACTCAGGAGGATAAAGCAGGAAGATCACTTTAGCCCAAGAGTTCAAAATTCAAGTCCAGTCTGGGCAACACAGTGAGACTCCACCTCTAAAAGAAAAATAAGAGCCAAAGAAAGAATTAGTGAACTGGGAGCTATTTCAAAGGACGCTATCTAGAATAAACAACAGAAGAGTAAGGGATGAAAAATATAGAAGAAAGGATAAAAAGCAAAGAAATGCATGCAGTTGGAATTCTAAAACAAGAAAAGAAAGAATATGGAGTAAAAGCAATATGAGAATGATCTATAACTGAAGAAAGACACAGATTCAAGAAGCCTTGCAAAGTCCAAGTAGGACAAACACAAAGAAATCCACAACTAGGCACATCATGGTAAGACTGATAAGAAAAAAATGGCACTGGTTCGAGACCTGCCTGGGCAACTTGGCGAGACTTCATCTCTACAATAAATCAAAAATCAGCCGGGCGTGGTAGTGCGCGCCTGTAGGTCCAGCTACTTGGAAGGCTGAGGCAGAAGGATCGCCAGAGCCCAGCAGGTCAAGGCTGCGGTGGCTGGGAGTGGCCACTGCACTCCAGTCTGGGCGACAGAGTGAGACTCCAACTCAAAAAAAAAAAAGGAAAGAAATAAGAAAAAGAGAGATTGCTTTCAAAGGCCAACAATAAACTGATCATAAAAGCCTAAAGATGATTGATATTATCAAAGTGCTGGAAGAAAATTACTGCCAACCTAGGATTCTTTACCCAGTGAAAAATACCTTCCAATAATAGAGGTGAATTAAAGATATTTTCTTTTTTTTTTGAGTTGGAGTCTCACTCGGTCGCCCAGACTGGAGTGCAGTGGCCGCTTCCGGCCACCGCAGCCTCGACCTGCTGGGCTCCGGTGATCCTTCCTCCTCAGCCTTCTAAGTAGCCGGAATTACAGGCATACGCTACCACGCCCAGCTGATTTTTTGATTTATTGTAGAGATGAGGTCTCGCTGCCCAGGCGGGTCTCGAACCCGCGGGCTCAGGCAATCCACTCACCTCAGCCTCCCAAAGGCGTGGGATTACAGGCTGAGCCACCGAGCCCGGCTTAAAGATATTTTCAAGCAAACAAAAGGTGAGAGAATTTACCACACCTGACCTGCAGTAAAAGAAACACTAAAGGGTGCTCTTTAGCAGGGGGAAAATATGGCAAATGGAAAGCTGGAAATACAAAAAATGAATGGGCAGAATTTATATGAGGGCAATTGAAACTATGTAATTGTATAAAGCAGTAATAATAATACCAAACACTAAAAATGGTTTATATAAGTGGGGAGTATTTTAAGTATGCTAATACCTAGTATTTTAAGTATTTCAAGTTGTATTGTTAAGAAGGAGGGTAAAAGCAATACATTTTAATAAGTCAAATAAGTTGTAACCTCTGTGTATCACTGAATGAATAGTGAAAGGGTATTTAACTTCCAAATTAATACAGAGGAAAAAGAGAATATGAAATAAAAAGAATTAAAATAATCCAAAGTGAGGGAAAGAAAGAAGAAGGTAAAAGAAAGAGAGAATGGGCGGAGCTACCAGAAAGTACTTGGAATAGGACACATTGAAATGAAAGGAAATGGGTGATTAAGTAAAAGTAGACAAGATGTTCCAATTGGTAACAAATATTGTGAGATGAATTTTTAAAAATTCAACTATTTTCTGTTTCGACATCCCTAAATAAACCATGGGACCAAAAAAAAAAAAAAAGGAAATTAGTACATTTTTAGAACTGAATGATATAAAAATAGACATACTCAAATCATGGGATGCTATACCTAGAAAGAAATCTAAGTCTTTTTTTTTTTTTTGAGTTGTAGTCTCACTCTTTCACCCAGGCTGGAGTGCAGTGGCATGCTCCTGGCCCCTGCAGCCTCGACCTGCTGGGCTCAGGCGAGCCTTCCACCTCAGCCTTCCAAGTAGCCAGAACTACAGGCGCACACTACACCTGACTATTTTTTATTTTACTGTAGAGACGAGGTCTTGCCAAGTTGCCTGGGCTGGTCTCAAACCGGCGGGCTCAGGCAATCCATTCACTTCAGCCTTCCAAAGTACTGGGATTACATACTAAGCCCGGCCAAAATCTAAATCTTATATATGTGTGTTAGAAAAGGGAAAAAGCTGAAGATTCATGAACTAATTATCTATCTTAAGACATCTGAAAAAAAATCCCAGCAAAACAAGGAGAAAAGAAAAGAGCAGAATTTTATAAAATAAAAAAACAGGCTGGGCTTGGTTGCTCAGCCTGTAATTCCAGCATTTTGGGAGGCCAAGGTGAGATGACTGTCTGAGCCTGGGGGTTTGAGACTAGCCTGGGCAACTTGGTGAGACCTCGTTTTCACAATAAATCACAAGAACTTAGCCTGCCATGGTGGCGTGCGCCTGCAGTTCCAGCTACTCGGAAGGCTGAGGCAGAAGGATTGCCTGAGCTTGCAGGTTCAAGACCAGCCTGGGCAGCATGGTGAGACCTCATCTCTACAGTAAAAAAATAAAAATGAGCTGGGCATGGTAGCACACACCTGTAGTTCCGGCTACTTGGAAGGCTGAGGCGGAAGGATCGCCTGAGCCCAGCAGGTTGAGGCTGCAGTGGCTGTAAGTGTGCCACTGCACTCTAGCCTGGATGACAAGAGTGAGACTCCAACTCAAAAAAAATACAAAAATATATATTTATATATACTAGGAGAAATCAATAATGCATTGACTCTGAAACTTGAATTGATACCTGTGCCTTCAACTCTAGCATCACCTGTATTCCTGAATTTAGACCTTTGGGGAGAATGTTTCACGTTGATGCTTTCAGCCAAAGCTCACGAATCAGAAAAATCTCCACTAATTCAGAGCTGACAGCAGAAAAGAAAAGCTCTTGCTTATGTTTAACCCAGAGTTCTCCTAACTCAGTATCTTCTTGGTCTGTTTCAGGACAACCACGTGTAGCAAAGGGAGTGGTGAACAGCAAAGCGTGAGAGCTGTCGATGTGAGAATTGAGAGCAACCCAGTTCCTGGGGGCATGTATAGTGCCTTTTGTATGAAGGACGAAGGTCAGTGCCAGAGTCTTTTTAAAGGTCCTGAAGAGTGTGGTCTTGGGGGTTGCTGTCTTAGGCTGGGTTCTCTAGAAGACCTTGAGGTGCGGATGTACCGGTCATGCTTTACCAGGAAGTCTTCTAAAGAAAGGCCACTAGGGCAGTCGGGAAGTGGACAGGAAAGGGAAGGGGGTAAGCACTGGTGCAATATGAAGCAAAATCCATGGTGTAGTGAGGTCAGGAACAACTCTGGCTCAATCCCTGAAGAAATCTCTGGAAACCGTATAAGTAACCACCGTTTTTCTGATTGGGGTGTGGGAGTTGGGGTATTTATGCCACTGCACCTATCAGTCATTGGTGAAAAGCTGCTTCAGGACATGTAAATTCCCAGGTTCTTCTGTTCAGTTGTGTGCACAGGCAAAAACTTTCAGTAGACTGAATGCCACCCTCCAACAAAGAGGGACAGGTGCCACCAGGAGCCCTTGTGCATGGGAGTGGAAAAGGTATCAAGGGAGTATGAGCAGAGCCCTGGCAGCACTTGATACAGTTGCAGATGTCCACAGCTTGTCCTTCAATCTCTCTTCGTAGTAGATAGCACACTAAAAAGAAAAAAAAAATTTTCCCAAAAAAAGAAATGTGTAAGATCTAGGGGACTTCTTCTAGTAAGGAAAATTCAAATTCCTTTTGAGAAATCAGCTAAGTGGCAAGGAGAAAACCATAAAGAAGTCTCCAGGGCAGCATTTCTATGCACCAGAATAAGTAAACCTTTGTGATCAGAAACACATGCCATTTAAAGGAATATTCACACAAATGGGGAAAATGCCAGTTTCTTATTCATCATTCATAGACATGGGCACAGGTTCTGCTTGGCTGCACACTGGACTCATCTGGGAGGTATTTAAAAATTACTGATACCTGGGTGGCAGCCCTAGAGATTATGATGTAAATTGAGGTTTTTAAAAACTCCCTGGTGATTTTACATGCAACCCAGATTGGGAACGACTTCTATAATGCAAGGTTTTCCAAACTTCTGATGATGTGAAAAAGCAGAAGAACTTGTTAAAAATATAAGTCCTCAGGCTGCATTCCAGAGGTACCAACTACTAATCTCCAGGAAGGGCATCAGAGGAACTGGCAAAAGTAAGAGCCATAGTGAACGCTAAGGCCCTGACCGATGCCTGGTAGATGTTTATTAGTGATAGGGCTTTCTTCTGCTGATTTCTAAGGAAGAGTGTCAGGAAGAATCTCCTGACATCATCTGTCCAGTCAAGTAACCAAGAGATGTAGCCTTATTATGGAAAGACCCAGGAGAGCAATATCTATGTTTTTTTTTTTTTAAACCACATAAATAAATTAAAATGACCCTTTGGGCTGGACATGGTGACTCATGCCTATAATTCCAGCACTTTGGGAGGCCGTAATGAGAGGTTTGCCCGAGCTCAGGAGTTCGAGACCAGTCTGGGCAACATGGCGAGACTTCGTCTCTGTAGTAAATTAAAAAAACTAACCAGGTATAGTGGCATGCACCTGTAGTTCCAGCTACTTGGAAGACTAAGGCAGAAGGATCACCTGAGCCCAGAAGGTCAAGGCTGCAGTGGCCATGATCGTGCCACTGCACTCCAGCCTGGGTGACAGAGTAAGACCCTAACCCAGATAGATAGATAGATAGATAGATAGATAGATAGATAGATAGAATTTAATGACCCTTTGAATTCCAAACATAGGCAGAGGGTCAGATTCTTGAGGACAGGACATAACTGGAAGAAAAATAGGATAACCTTCTTTCTTCAGTGATCTCAAATGAATATGTAGGACTTCTGAGTCCCCTCTTGGTGTACAAAAGGTTTTGGTTGGTTTTTGCTATGTATCATATACCCCAAAATGTAGTGGTTTGAAACAACCACTATTTATTTAGTTCACAGTTTTGTGGACCACCTATTTGTGTTGCTCTTTTGCCAGAGTTGGCTGGGATCATTCATGAGTCTGTGGTCAGCTGCTGGTTAGCTAGGTAGCCTTGCTTCTGGGAGTTGGTTGGCTGCTGGCTGCTGGCTAGAGTGATAAGGATGACTGAACCATGTGTTTCTCTTCATCCAACAGGCTAGCCTGGGCTTTCCACCACTCAGCCATCAAATAGATTATGTGTATACAACTGAGTGCCTGTTTTGCCCACAACTGTAGTGCATGAAGTCAGATGTTGGAAACATCCTTTCATGTCTTACAGGGTACCCAAGTCAAAGCCATGATAATGACTTCAAGTTTGAGTCATGGGAAAATCAACGTGTGAGGGAGAACCCCCCCCAAAAAAACCAGAATTATCTTTTTGAGGGCAGGCCCCTTGTAGTACACCTGGAATTTGTTCCTGCAGATCAAACAGTCAACCAAAGTTTTTATCTGGAAGTTTTGAAAAGATTGCATCACTATCTGTGGAAGAAATGTCCCGAGTTATGGCAAATGGGTGACTGGTTCTTCCACCATGACAATGCATCTGCCCACACTGCACTGAGTGTTCAGCAGTTTGTGACCAAAACAACATGGTCCCTGTGCCCCACCCTCCCTATTCACTTGCTCTTGCCCTGAGTGACTTTTTTTTGTTTCTCCAGATAAAAAAGTCCTCAAAGGGAAACATTTTGCCTGTGTGGAAGAGGTGAAACAAAAAATAGCAGAAGTACTCAAAAGCATCAATTGATGAGTTCACAAATTGTTTTGAGCAGTGGAAAAAGTGTCTTAGTGGGTGTACTGCATTAATGGAGAGTACTTTGAAGGTGACTGACGTTTAAACATGTAAGAATAAATACACAATATTTTATAAGTAAATTTTGGGTTTGGGGGTTCCCCCTAGTATATGATACATAGCGCTCAGAAGAACACATTGATTCCTTGGTTCATTTTAATGCATATTCCTGCCAAAATTGTATAACTGAATCTAATCACAAGGAAACATTAACCAAATTCAAATTGAGTAACATCCTACTCTTCAAAAAAGTGTCAAGGATAAGAAAGCCAAACTGTTGTAGATTAAAATAGACTAAAAGACTTGAGGATGAAATTCAATTTGTGATCCTGGATTATGTCCTGGACCAGGAAAAAATAGCTATAATTGATGAAAATTGAGTATAGATTATAAATTAAATACATGAATCAATGTTTAAGTGTCCTGATTTGGGTAACTGTACAACAGTTATATAAAAGAATATCCTTGTTCTTGGGAAATGGACACCAAAGTGTTTAGGGATAAAGGGAAATCATATCTACAATGTACCCTCTGACGATTCAGAAAAGAATGATAGACTTAGATACACACATATACATATTTATGTGTATGTCTGTGTGTGTACGTGTGTGTGTGGTGTGGAGAGAGAGAAAGAGAGAAAAGAGAATGATAAACAGGGCAAAATGAAAACACAATGGTAAACTGCATAACGGGAAAATTCCTGTTCTTACCATTTTTCTGTAACTTTGAAATTCAATACGAATCTAAAATTTTCAAAAAATCAAATGGTCTCCATACTCCTCCCAAATCAAAAACAACAACAGCAGACAAAGTCAACCCCCAAACCAAAACACCTCTGAGTCATGGGAAGCAACACGTGCAACAGAATTGGAGGGTGCTTGTCGGTGACCTGCACTGACCAGAGGGAGGGTTAGGACCGCACCGGTGAATCAGAGACGGAGAGAAGAAAACTACTCGGAGGCAGCTCTTCTGGGTTCAGCCTGGCCAAGACCGAAGCCGATTTTATTCAAACCTTTTCCAACTTATATACCATTTTCTATACCCTCCAGCAATGTGATAATCACTCACTGGGGGCGTACAAGTTTTCGTGCTTTACAAACTATGCATCAC